CCCAAAAAATAAAAATAAAAATAAAAATAAAAATAAAAATAAAAAATAAATAAAATGGTATATAAAATAAAATAATTCCCTGGATATAGAGATGCTCCAATTAAAATATCATTTTCAACATGTAATATAAAATTGTAATGGTTAGTAATATCTAAATGGTCACCGGTAGTATAACCCCAAAGTTGAATTGAGATTGGTATATAAATATTTTCAGTAATATCTGATGATACTGGGATTCTGCATTCCCACGATGCTAATTTGTGGTGTAATAGATTTATTTTCATTCGATTAAAGTTTTGATCAACCATTAATCAAGTGATTAGATATTTTTTAAAAAAAAAAAATTGTTAGATTAAATCTGAGTTTTTAATTTTTTTTTTTATAATAAAATAAATAAACACTTACAATTTTGATATAAAACCTCTTTAATTCTTTTAAACTCTAATTCATCTACCAAGATACCACAATATAATGGTGAATCTCTTCCATAAAATACATTAAGCTCTTGTTTGTTTTCCTATAAATATATATTATTATTATTTATATTATATATTAAATATTTTTTCTTTAAATGTCTTACTTTGCATATTGGGCCTCTTTTCCATTTCCCTTCAATATCCTTACATTCCATACTTATTTGGTCTCCATATTTATAGGGCACTATTGCATTGATTTTATATATCTATCATTATTATTAAAAAATTATTAGTTAATAGCCATTAATATATAAAATTATTGGATTATTGGATAGTATTTTACATATAATATAAATATGATTAAAACTGAAATTATATTAATCTTCATTATTCCTACGGTGGATCTTCTTTTTTAATGCCACTTGTTAATATTAATATATTTAAATTAAATAATTAAAAAAACAAAATTTTAAAATTTTTAAAAAAAAAAAATTTAAAAAAATTAAAAAAAAAAAAAAAAGGGTAAAAAAATTTTAAAAGGAACTGATTTCAAATTAAATTATATAATTAATTATTAATTTATTTATTTTTTTTTTAAGGTTTTTTTTTTTTTAAACATATAAACAAAAAAAAGTTTTACAAATCGATTATATATGTACTGATTGAATATTTACTAAATTATTATTTGTTGTTTTGATGGGGGGTGTGATGGTAAATTGTGATCATGTGTGTTGAGTTTTAAAAAATATTGTATATAATATATAAAAATGTTGAATTTTTAAAAGTGAATAAAATTATTTTATCCACTTAATTATTTCTTCATTTTTCTTATGAGGATAATGGTTCATAACCACCAATAGGTGGTGGTTGAGATTTCTTTGGTGCAAATGAACCTAAGGCTGTATCTTTATGAAGTTTGAGGAATCTTGGATTACCATTGGCATCTTTGGTCCATTGAAGTAAATTAACAAATTGTGAATGTTCTGATAAAAAGTCTGGGAAAGTTTTCTTTGCTGCGGCAGTATCATTTGGTTGTACTAAATAATGTTTAATACGTGGGGGTAATTCAATACCAATATAGGCAATACCAAATTGACCAGGGTTTCTTTCACTGAATCTAATAATAAATGTACCTGGATCTTGACCTTGAAGTGCATCATTAACCTCTTGTCTACCCATATAACCATAAATAATACTTTAAAAAAAAAATAAAAAAATTAGTTATATTTTCTAAATTTGTATAAATAAAAATAAAAATAATTACCCTTCTTGCCATAAAGTTGAAATATGTCTTTGATATCTTAAGGTTTGCATTGATTTACCAAACCATACCCAGAATTTATCAAAATCTTGTTGATGAATAATTGAACGATTACCAAAGAAATGGGTTTGAATATATTTCAAGTCGAATGAAGAGAGAGGTCTTTTTGGACGTACTGGATCTTGTTTGGTTGCAATAAGGAAATGTCTTTGAAGAGTGTTAATAAATTGAGCCCATGTGATTTCTAATTGACCATCAAAAGCATCTTTCTTTAAGAGTACACCAGCTGAGCCTTCCCATTGGCACTCATTGGTAATAACTACAAATGGATTTGAAGCGTCGCTTTCAACTGTAGTGGTAACATTATCTAAATCACGAATATTGACACCAAATTTCAAATTTACAGAGCATTTTCTTGTACCAGCAAGGAATTTTAATGGGAAATGGGCAGTTAATGTGGCTGGATATATTGGTTGTGAGTCCATTTCTAATGGAGTTGTTGGATTATTTTTGTTGGTTGGATGTGAATCACAAATCATGGTTGCTTTGACTGGACCATTAATATGGAAGTTGGATCTAGCACCAGTTAAAATTAAAACAACTAATTGATTTTCGCCCAATTGTTTTCCTTTGCTAATTACAATTGGGAATGGTTGTGATTTTAATACTAATGCAACACTAAATATTTAATAAAAAGGTAAAGACATTATTAATATTTTGTTAAAAAAACTGTGATAAATAAAATTTTTAAAAACTTACTTTGGTTTTGGTGAGCTATGTTGTGGATTAAGAATTGCTTGAATTTCATTATGTAATAGACTTAATTGTTTGAATTGGATTTGTAAATCTTGTTTTAAAGCAAAAAGTTTAGCCAAATCAGTTGGTTCAAGGATCATACCTTTCTTTGTAGCATCAAGAGCTGACATTTCAGTGTTCATTTGACTTGATAAGGTAATTTGTTTTTGAGAAATTTGTCTTAAAAGTACTAATGAGTTTTCATCTAAATTTGGTGGGAGTCTATTTAATAAAATTGATTGTTCATGAATCATTTGTACAAGTGTTTGCTCTTGTTCAGAGAGTAATTTATAAATTGTATCAAGAATTGGTTGAGGTGAACTGATTTGTGTTTGTGGTGCTTGTTGTTGTGGTTGTGATTGTTGTGGCATTTGTTGTGGTTGTTGTAAATTTTGTTGTGGCATTTGGTAGTTTGGTTGAATGTTATTATTTCTAAATGGAGTTGGACTTGGAAGTGGACTTGAGAGTGGACTTGATGGTGTTTGTGACATATGAATTGGTGATTGTGCTCCATTTGTGCTGTGTGACATATATTGTTGTTGTTGTTGTTGTTGTTGTTGTTGCTGCTGAATTGGTTGTTGTTGAACTCTTGGTGTAAGGTTATTATTAGATGATCTTGTTAAAAATTGATCACTTTGATTTAATTGAGGCATTTGATAGTATTGTTGTTGTTGTTGTTGTTGATTGTTATCAATTTGAAATCCACCTGGTACATATAAGTTTTGAATAGTTGTACCGATACTTTGATTTAATCTGCCACTGTTTTAATAGTAAAAAAATTATATTAGTATTTTTTATTGATTTCTTTTTGATTTGATTTAAAAACTCTAACATACTCTGATCCTTCAAATAAATCTTTTGTTGAAATAGATGTTGCATTTGAATCAAATGTATCTTCAAAGTCGTCCATAGAAAATTCTCCTGAAGCCATTTTGTTATGATTTATTTATTTTTGATAATTATAATAAAAACTTTCTAATGAGTTGGTTTATATGTGTTTTTTATTATTACTGTTTATAAATTATAAAAAATAAAATAAAAAAAGATTTATATGTTTAGAAAAAAAAAAGTTGTGTATGTATGTGTGGGTTGTTTATGTGTGTTTGTGTTTTGTAATAATACAGTTATAAAAGAAATATATTATTATTTATCTAAATAGATTTCTTATTTTTTTTTTTGTTCTTTTTATAAATTAATTAACAAAATAATAAAAAAATTTTAAAAAAGGTTGTGCTTTTTTTTTTTTCTTTTTTATTTTAAAAAAAAAATTTTAAAAAGTTTTGCTCTTTTTTTTTTTTTTTTTTTTTTTTTTTTTTGCAAATAATTATTTTTTATATAATTATTACTTTTCTATTATAAATATTTTATTTTATTATTAAATATTATAATGGTAATATATTTATTATGAAAGAAATAAAAAAAAAAAAAAAAAAAACCGGAAAAATCCGGGGTTGGGTTTGGGGAAAGGGTTAAAAAAAAAATTATTTTTTTTCCCAAAATTAAAAAAAAAAATTTTAAATAAAATAGAAAAAAAAAATAAAAAAAAATTTGAAAAAATCTTTTTTTTTTTATTTTATTTTTATTTAAATTTAAATTTTTTAAAAAAAAGAAATAATTTAAAAAAAATTAAAATTTTAAAAGAGGGTTAAATAAATAAAATAATTATATCTGTGTGTTTTAGTGTGTGTGTGTGTTTATTTTGGTAGTTTTGTTTAAAAAATTATATTTATTTATTCTATAAAAAAAAAAAAAAAAAAAAAAAAAATGGGATGAATATTGATTTTATGCTCTATATGATTTACTATACTATATATATAAATATAGAGGGTTTTTTTCCTTAAAAAAAGATTTGTTACTTTTTTATTTAAAAAAAAAAAATAAACCACAATTTATACATATTTATATAATGTTATTTTATTGAAACTAAATATTTATTGTTAAATTTTAATAATTATTTGTTGTGTTTGAATTAATTTAAATAGTATACACATTAATATTTATAAATTGATTTATCTTTTTTTGGGTTATTGTGTGGTAGTTTTTAAAAAGAACAAAAATAAAAAAAATAATTGTGTTTTACTCCTCTGTTCCACCATAACAATAATATTTTTTCAAAATAAGAAGGTTTATCTTTGTGTGTAATTTTTTTTTTGTTAGTGTGATTTGGGGGTGGTCTTTCTTTCTTTTTTTTTTTTTTTTTTTTTAAAATTATCTATTATTTTCAGTAATTATTATAGATATTAATAGTGTGTATATATTTTTTCTTTTTTTTTTTTTTTTTTTTTTTTTTTTTTGAATAAACGAGAAATTTTTATAATAAAAAAGTAATTTGTTAAACTTTGTTTAAAACTCTACCTCAAATAATATATCAAATTATTATCAATCAATTAAAGTTTGTATGCGTAAAAAGAAATACTCCTATATTATTTCAAAATTTTTTTAAAAGACAAATATTCAACATTGCGAGAAGTGTCTATTCATTTTTTTAATACTTGCAGATTGAATATTAATACATTATACTTAATATATTATATCAAGAGTATACATAATAATAATAATAATAATAAATAGTAAAAATAATAATAATAATAATAATAATAATAATAATAATAATGGTGAAAAGCAAATAAAAAAATTAAAATCACATGATCACATGTGCACACACCTCAAATACACTTCCACCATCTCTACCACCATTACCACAATAATGGTAAATAATAACAAGTATAATATCACTTAACAAAGACAAATTGAATATTAATAACACAAAAATATAAAAACAAAAAATTAAATAAAAAAAAATAAACATAAAAATAAAAACTACATATAATTTAAACTTTTTATAATGTATATATTTTAAATTATTTTTGTTGTAGTATTTTCCCAAAATATATAATTATTATTATTTTTTTTTTTAAAACTGGTTTAAGCGTTTATTTCAATTTACAAAATTTCAAATTTTTATTGTAAATAATTATATCTATTTTATATAAATTTATTTATATATTTTTTTATAATGCTTTTAAAAAAAGTATTTACTATTTTTCTTATTTTTTTTTTTTTAAAAAAAATTAAAAAGTCAATTTAAATGCTATAGTGATCAACTATTGGTTTAGTTTTTATATCTTTTAACAAAAATGAACATTTTTATATAAAAAAAAATATTGTATTTTAAATAAATAATTTGATATTATTCTTTTTATATAATATTACATACAAATAATAATATTAAATAAATAATTATTTATTTCTTTTATTATGTTTACATTTTAATAAAATAAAATAATTTAAAAAAGTAATTGATCCCTTTCTTTTATTTTTCTTTTTTTCTCTTTGGTTGTTTTAAATTTATATTTTTTTTTTTTTTATAAGAAATTGATTTACAAATTATTTAATAAATGATTGACACAGAATGCCTCGATATAAACTCTATTATCAATGTTTCTTATACCATGACGTTCTTTTGCCAAAATCTTTAAGATATATGGTTTTTGAGAGGTTGTAAGCTTTTCGATTAAGCATGAGGTATTTGAGAAATGCACATTTTCGTCTTGTAAACCATGAATAACTACCAATCTATTATCCTCCTCTGGGAAGCCATCGATAAAAGTCATTACATTACCGCTATGATAACCTTCTTTATTGTTTTCTGGTGTATCCATATATCTTTCAGTATATCCGGTATTGTAAGCTTCCCAAAATGTAACTGGGGCACCAGAGATGGCGATCTTGAAAAAGTCTGGTCTTTGAGAGAGTGCCATAAGTGAAAAATAACCTCCATACGACCAACCAGTGATGGCAATTCTTGAACGATCAATTGGTACAATATTGTTATTAATTAAATACTCAATACCTTCAATTTGATCCTGTAATTCTGAGACACCCATCTTATGTTTAATTTGTCCCTCATACTCTAAACCTCTGTTTGTAGAACCAGCACCATCAATCATAATTTGAATGAATCCAAAATTAGCATAGTACTGTCTAATATAGCTGTATGTGTTACGAACTAATTGAACATGTGGTCCACCATAAACATATAAAACAGTTGGATGTTTCTTTGATGGATCAAAGTTAGTTGGTTTGGTATATTGACCATAAACTTTTATGCCTCGTGAGTTTACAAAACTAAAGATCTCTGGTACTTTGAATGATCCAATCTTTTCAACACTAGAACTTTCTGATTCTTCGACACCACTATTTGAAATAAAGAATAATGGTTTTAATGATGGATATGAATCTTTATTACCTTGATCATAAACTAAATCGAAAATTTGTGTTTTATTTGGGGTTTTGTGATTTGAATAAGTTGAAATTATCTTTTTAAAATCTTTAGAAACTTTAATTGATTTATGACTCATTTGTGGAACTGTTAATCTGAAAAAAAAATTAAAATAATATTAATATATAAAAATTAAATAAATGTAAAATATTTAGAATAAAGAATAAGCTACCTTTGAATTTCTGATGTTGAATTTTTATAACTTTTAACATACAAGTGTTGTTCTAAACATGTATCTTTTGTAGCAATGAAATAAACTAGACCTCTGGTTTCATCTACAAAAAGCTCCTCACCACTAACCATCCATTCTTCATTAGACAATAATTGAGTGACTGGTTTTGAAGTAACATTTCCAAATGAATCTGAATCCCATTGAACCAAAGACAAGTGTCTAAAACCACGATTGTTCTCATTGCACTCACTTGACCAAAGTAAATGTTGGCTATCACTAAAGAAATGAATTGAGTCAACAACATTAATCCAAAAATTGGTAGTTTCTTCAATGATAACTGGAAGAGTTGATGGTGATGAAGTAAACTTTGATAATGGTACAATAGTAACAGCTTGATGTTGTTGCTTTCTATCTAACAACTGTAACCAAACCGATTTACCATTTGGAAGCCAACCTGCACGAGTATAATATTCTAACCATGAAAATTGTTCTTTGAGGTCAAATAACTGAGTTCTTTTTAATTCTGTCAAGTCACCACTTTCAGATAATGAAAATTCCACCAAATTAACCTTTACAATTGAGTTTTTATCCCCAGCCAATGGATATTTGTAATGTGTAGTATCACCTTCATGATCTGGTGTGCTGATATGGAAATCCCTAACATTAGTTTCATCTTCTTCAAAGTACAATATTCTATAGATTGATTTATTTGTTTGTGGGCATTTTTCAACAACAGGTGACCACCAATAACCAATATATCTTGAAAACTCCTCGGCATAAATAAAACCAACATCACCAGCGTATCTAAACTTGTGTTGTTCATCATTTGATTGTGTTAATCTGTGCATTTTACCACTTTTGATATCAGTTACCCAAATATCTTTTTCTTTAATGTATGATATTAATTTACCATCTGATGACAATCTATGATTATAAATTTCGCCTGGTATTTCTTTTAAAACTGGTTTTGTAACAGACTCGCTAATATCAATTTTATGAAGTTGGTTGTTAATTGCTGTTACAAAAAACTTGTGTCTAAAATAATTGAAAAATAAATAGTTTAATTAAAATTTATTACTAATTATTATTAAAAATAAATAAAAAAATGCATACTCTTGATGATAGGTAAATTGAGTGATACCATTTGCAACAACTCTTTGTCTTTCTCTTTGTAATTGATCCTCCAATGATAATTCGACATTATTGTCAACATAGTTAAATAATGGTTTAATTTCTAAAAATTTAATATTAAAACTATATTAATATGATACCAATTATAAAAATCAAAACTATCTATTTATATCTATATTTACCTTTGTTTGATGAATTAATATCAATATAATGAATATTTTTAATATTTGATTGACCCTTAACATTTGAAAGGAAATATAAATGATCGTTTGAATCATCAAATTTAAAAGAGTATGGTGATGAGGCATTATCATCAATATCAAATAATTTTGATGCCTCTTCAATTGTAAACTCTTTTTTCTCCCCAAAGGATCCACCACCAATTTTAATTTTTTTAACTGCAGACATTGCTATTTAAAACAATAAAAAACAAATTAAAAGATTTAGAAAATAAAAAATAAAAAATAAAACCAAAGAAAAAAATTTTATAAAAAATTTATAAAAAAAATAAAAATTTGTTTTATTAAATTTTTAATTTAAAAAAAAAATAAAATTAAAAATAAATAAAAAAAAAAACAGTGAAGTTCATTTAAATTAAAAAGATTTAAAAAAAAAAAAAAAAAAGATTAATTATAACATGTGTAGATTTTATTTTTTATTTGTTTTTTTTTTTTTGTTTTTTTTCATATTTTTTGAATTTTTGTTAACAACTCTTTTATTACTATTTATAATTTATATGTTGGATTATTGTTGTTTCTTTTTTCTTGTTTTTTCTTGTTGGGTATTACTGATATTGTTTAACATTTTCTAATGATTATTTATGGATAGTTTTTGATAATGATATTTTCTTGTTGCTATTTGAATGGGGGTGTGTGTTGAGTTAAGTTTAGTTTGTTGGTGTTGGTGATGTTGTTGAAGTTGTAGTTGTTGCTGGTGATGAATTTGATGGTGAGTTGTTTTCACCTGAGCTTCTATCTCTTCCACCTCTGTCACCTCTGCCACCTCTACCACCTCTATAACCATCTCTTCCACCTCTATAACCACGGAAACCACCTCTTCCTCTACCACCTCTACGACCACCTCTACCTCTGTATGACTCAGTATCGGCAGTGGTATAGGTATTGGTTTCGGTAGTGTTTTCTTCGACTGGAGCATCAGGGTTTTCAGTAGTGTCTTTACCACCTCTGAATCCACCTCTTCTTGAGATACCTCTACGGCTACCACCTCTAAATCCACCTCTACGAACACCACCACGGCTGCTACCTCTACGGCTACCACCTCTACCACCTCTAAATCCACCTCTACGACTACCTCTGAAACTTCCACCTCCTCTTGAAATGGAGCCGCCTCTGCTACCTCTGAACCCACCTCTGCTACCTCTGAATCCACCTCTACGGCCACGGAAACTACCTATTGGTCTAATTTGTTTTTCTTTTGGAGTTTCACTTGGTGCTTGATAACCTGGATTGGTGGTATCAAGAGGTGATTTAGATAAAGTGATTTTAATGAAAGCAGATTTCTTTTTGATTTCAACTTTATCTAAACCCTCTTCTTTTGGCATATATTGAGTAACAGTATCTGTTGTACCAATTTCTGTAATTTGATGAAGGGGAGATACTCTAAGTTTAATGATTTCAGCTGTAAAAATTGCTTTAGAAATCATTTTACTACCAATAGCCTTAACGATAATTGAATCGAATGGATTTTCTTCTTTTTTCAATAAATTTAAACCATATTCAATTGATCTACTAACTTGACTATGAATACCACCAATTCTAACCTCATTTGGTTCTGTATCATTATCATATGATTTTGGGACACGATAATATTTATCCATTTTTTTTATTTATTATTTATTTAATTATTTATTATTTGTTATTTAATTATTACTCTTTATAATTTTCCCTTTTTTTAATAAAAAGAATTAATTAGTATATTAACTTTTTTTTTACTATTTTTTTACTTTTTTCTTTTTCTTTTTTTTTTTTCTTTCTCCAAAAAAAAAACCAAATATAATTACCTTTTGTTTAGAAGTTGTTTAATTTAATTAGGGATTTTCTTATTATTACTCTACACTACTTTGGATATTGTTTCTAAAAAAACTCTTTTATTTTCTTTTTGTTATTTGTTATTTATTTTTTATTAAAATCAAAAAAAAGAAAAAAAAAATTAATTTAAAAAATTTTAAAAAAATTAAAAAAAATTTAAAAAAAAATTTAAAAAAAAAAAAATTAATTTAATTTATAAATAAAAAATAAATAAAATAAATACTCAAAAAAAAAAATACTATTTATAAATGGATCTAAAGTGTCATAATTTACATATTAAAAAAATAAATTAAATAGATTGAAATTTTTAAAATAGCATTAAATTGATACTAAAAAATAAATAAAAAAACAATGTTTTATTTTTTTTAACAATGACAAATAAAAAAAATGATTAAGTGTGTGTTTTTTTTTGTGTGTGAACACTATTTTTTTTTTTTTTTTTTTTGAATATATAATTTATATATCATTTATTGTTTTAAATTAACTTTATTAATGATTAAATTTACATAGTTAATTCGAGAACAGCAGTGACGATATCACCAGTCTTCTTGAGGACTTCAACAACTTTAGCTTTTGGAGCTTTGGTTTCTTTCATGACGATTTCGACATCTTTTGGATCTAAACCTTGGAGGTCAACTTCTTCGTCATCATTTGAAACAGTTTCGGCAACGATTTCTTCAACTGGTTCTTCTGGAGCAACAGCTTTGGTGATTTCATCGACGTTTTTAGCAGCTTTGGTGGCTCTAGCTTGTGACATATCATCGAAGGTGGTTTCACCAAAAATGGCATAGGTTTCACCTGATGGTGAAGCGTAAACTTCTGGTTCAGCAACAACAATTAAAAGACCACCTTTTTGTCTTAAGGTGAAACGGAAAATATCGTTGACTGGAACTAAACCAACCTATACATAAGAAAAAATAGAGTTAGTATCTGTTTTTTTTTTCACCACCTTATTTTTTTTTTGTTTTCAAACTTACTTTAGCCATAGCTTCACGGACTTTCTTTTCTTGTTTGGTTTGTTTTTTGATTGGGTTTTCGATTTCGGCCATTTTTGGATTATATATTATATATTATATCTATAGAGATAGAGGATATTTGATAAAAGATTAAACGAAAAAATTATATGGTAAAAATTTGCGACACACCCCACGCGAAAAAAAATTAAAAAAAATTTAATTTTTTTAAAATTTTTTTTTTTTTCAAATTAATTTTTTAATATGAACATTACATTATTGTCTTTAATATAATTTTATTAAAATGATCATTATATAATACTTACTATATATTTATAAATATCCACACATGTATATTTATTTCAATTCACAATCTAAAATTAATTGTGTTTTTTTTTATTTTTTTTATTTGGTTATTTGGTTGTTTATTTTTATATATATTTATATATTTATTTGATCAAATGAAAAACCAAATATAAAGAAACAATAAACAATAAACAGATAAAAAGGAATGCATAGATTTGATTTCAAGATTTTATTTATTTTTTTTTTAAATTTTTTAAAATTTTTTTTTTTTTTTGATTTTTTATAAATTAAAAAAAAAAAAATACAGACGATATTTTTTTTTATAGTTATATAAATATTATAGTATTAATAAAAATGATTTTTAGAAATAGTTTATTAAAGAATAATGTTAGATATTTTTCAACTGCATCAGGTTCACCAGTTTTTGAATTAATTACATACAAACCAACAAATAAAACCAATTTTATTAAACAATTAAAAGGATTAAATTCAAAATTATCAAGCGATAATGGCAATCAATCACCATTAATTAATGTTTGGGAAACTGATTTAGGATCTAAATTTAATGATGAAGTTATTTGTTTTTTAAAATTCAGCAATAATGAAGAAAGATTAAAAACAATTCAATCATTTGAAAATACATTTAAAGATCAAAAAACAGCAATCACTTTAGACGAGTTCCAATGGGCTAAATTTTCAGGTATTTCAAAGGATCAATTAAAAGAAAATAAAGTTTGGGAGTTAAGAACCTATCAAACCAAACCAGGTAAAATCGATCAATGGGAAAAAGACTTTACCAAAGGTTTCAATGAAAGAAAAACTCTTTCAGGTCCAGTTGGTGTATGGAATGGTAATTTAGAAGATTCAAAAGCAGTAGTCCACTTATGGCCATATAAAAGTTTCGAACACAGAATGAGTGTAAGAAATGCCGCTTTAAAAATGCCAATTTGGTTAGAAACTGTTAAAAATACAACAGCAAGTTTAACAAGTATGGAAAGTAAAGTAATTCTTCCAATTAACTTATAAATATAAATATATATAAATTTAAATAAAATTAAAAATAAAAAAAAACAATATTAAATAAAATAAACTATATTTAATTTACATTTTTAGAAAAAAAGAATTTTTAAAATTAATTTTATTTTTAAAAATATTTATATTATGTATGTAGTGTTATAAATTTTAGTATCATTTATAAAATTGAGTTATATTCAGATTTGCCTTATCAATGTAAATGTACATTGATAAAATTAAACCTTGTTATTGTTTATTATGTTGTGTTATTATTGTTACTATTATTATTATTATTATTATTATTATTATTATTATTATTATTATTATATTATTTATATTATTTATATATTATTTTTTTAATCTGATTGACCAAGTTCCTGAGTATCAAAAGCATAACTTGAAAAAGTTCTCTTTGAAACATATTTACTATCATTTGATTTTAAGAGTTCTTGAGCAATATGATGAGGCATTGGTTTATAATATCTATTTACAAATTTCCAACCAAAATCTCTCCAAAGGGCTATTATTGGAACAAGGAGGAGTAAAAAGTAAAAGTGAGCACTTTCGCCTATACGATAAATGACATCGAATAAATCAGAGTCAATACCTTTGGCGTTAACTCTTCCATAGATGAGGATCCAACAAAAGAATACAACCATACTACCCCAGGTTGCAAGATGATTAACCCATGTCCAATAACGTACTTCCAAAGCTAATTTCAAATTGACAGTTATAATAATGGCAGCAAAACAAATGAGACCGAATGCAAAGAGTTCTGAATTTTCACCACCGCTATATGCATTGCTTTTATATGAGGCAGCTGCAGGAATCGCAAAAAAGACGAAGCTGTGATATATACCATTTAATACCCAACCCCAGAATACAGGGAAACTAAAGAGAATTTTCTTTGGGCCTAATTGATAGAGTTTTGGGTGTTCAATAAGAATGCTTTCGCTTACATCCTTTTCCATTATACCCATTATAATTATAGGGAAGAAAGTCCAAACAACATTGTATGCGGTTAATGTATAACGTTCATAGAGTGTTTGACCAGACCATCCATTGAAAATAGTGAACCAAAATTGTGTGATATACAATGCAATATTTTTATAGAAACAATAACAGACCAATTTAGAAATTCTACGGTATGAATAACGACCATGAACTAATAAAAGACGTACTAAAAATCTAAATTGACCAATTGAATAATCTGATGAACGACATGCTTGAAGACCTTCTTCGCCACTAATACCAATACCAACGTGAGCAGCTTGAATCATTGATACATCATTGGCACCGTCACCTACGGCCAATGTTACTGATGCTAAATTATCTTTGACTAAACGTACCAATTGAGCTTTTTGTGATGGTGATACACGACAACAAACTACAGCGGAGCAATTTTTAGCTAATTTTAAGAGTGAATATTTAATATGACCTTCTAATGCGTGATTAAGTGTATTACCATCAACAATTAATGCCATTTGTTCTTTATTTTCAGTAGAGTTTGATCTAGTTGAGAGATCATTTAAACGTCTATTTAATTCTACAATTGTATTTTCTTTACTTTGTTCATTAATGATAACAAGTTCCATTTCTGGTGTGAGTAATTGGCAACTATAACCAATGTTAATGGCGGTTTCTTGTTTATCACCAGTAAGTACCCAAAGTTTAATACCAGCCTCTCTAAGAATATTGATGGCTTCTGGTACACCTTTTTGAAGTTTATCCTCGATTGCTGTTGCACCTAAAAGGAAAAGATTGGTTTCGATGATTTCAGCAACTCTGTCGATTTCAGCTTCACGATTAATAATTGCAGTTGATGCGATTTGATATTCTTTTAACCACTCTTGGTAGACTTGTTGATCCAATTCACAATAGGCAATACATAGTGTTCTTAAACCTTCTGATGCAAAGTCTTGAAGATGATTGATTGTAACATCAGCATATGGTTGGTTTGGAGCTAATCTTTCAAAGATAACAGAATCAGCACCTTTGCAATATAGCAAAAGTTTACCATTTGGTGATCTGACAATAACCGACATTCTTTTTCTTTCTGAATTAAATTCTAAAACTTGAAGTACTTCGAATCTAATATCTTCCAAACCATTTAGTTTAAGGAAAACATTTTTTTGATTTCTATGGGTGAACTCAAAACCAAAGAATTTGGCAGCATTAACCAATGCGTTTTCATCTGGTGATGAGGCTTGATAATTAATTTTACCATCTTCTTGTTCTGGAACGACTGTATGGCATACTGCCATAATATTTAAAAATTCTTGAATATTGTGTGATTGATCAGTTTTTGAATTTAAATCAGATAAAAGTTTATCATCATGAAAATCTACTGGTTGTAAATTTACGCTGTTGTTTGATTTATGTAGTTTGCTGCTTATACTACTATTGGTATTGTTGTTATTGATATCATCAAGGTTGTTTAAAACATTTGGGGTTGCTGGAGTTGATTGGTTACTTGATGATCTGTTATTATTAGTTTCATTACCATAAACGATACCACCAATTGAACATTTTTTGAATATCATCTTGTTTTGAGTTAATGTACCGGTTTTATCTGTGAATAGATATTCAATTTGTCCTAACTCTTCGTTGAGGTTACTGGTTCTAGCTAATGCAGGTGTATCGGTTTCTTTATGATACATTTCAGCATCGTTATTGATTAAATATGCTTGGATTAATTTGACGATTTCCATTGTGACGTAGAGTGAAATGGGAATTACATTATTGAATAGAATTAAGAATGTTAAGAAAGACATACCACCTTCTACTGCGTTTGAACGAGTGAATGACAAGTAGAAGGCCTTTCTATTGCTTGCAGTCCAAGAACCATTGGCGATGGCACATGCAGTGCATAATAACATTTGAAGGAAAAATATGAAAATGATGTAATGATTTGTAGACTTTTCAATTTGAGATCTCTTTAATGGGGTTGTATTTGAGTTTCTCATTAGTTTTGTATCACGGCCACTATATAGAACTAAACCATTGATCCATTTTGTATTTCTTAACATTGTGCCTCTAAGTAAAACTTGTTTGATTGAAATTGGTAAAACCTTTTGTTCCATCAACAATGAGCCTGAAAATGAATATAATCTCTTATTTGGGTGTTCACATTCAATCAAACCATTAAAACTTGATAATTGATTGAGATCATCTGCTAAAAATTGGGTCTCCTCTAAACTTTGCTTCATTTTCAAGTTGGTTTCACCATCTAAATTGGCGGTTTCTACAAAACATGTTGAATCTGGTTCACTAGTTGATAATAATAAAATATCAGCTGGCATAAATTGTTTATCATAAACTTTAATAATATCACCGACTTGAATATCCTTCCATAAAACATGTACAAAACTTGAATTTCTTAAAACTTCTGTTGTACTATAATTAACACGATCATCTTCCTTATGTCTTTTCTATAAAATAGTTTTATTAAAAAAAAATATAAGTATATTGTTTATTATTATATTATATTATATATATAATGATATTTTACATAATCTTCATAAGCTTCTTTTAACGCAGTTACAGTTAAAACTATACATAAAGGACCTAATGTTGTAAATCTACCTGTAGGAGATACACCAGGAATTAGTTGGAGACAAGATACAATTAAAAAGTAAAAATTTGCTAAACGACAAAATTGCTCAAATAAATTTAATGGTACAAATGTTACAAGTGAATATTTTGATGTTTTTACATAGTTGTTTGTATATTTATATAATAAATTATATTCGTGATTATTGATATGAATAGTTCTACAATTTCCTATAAAATCATCTCTAATTCTTAACTATATTAAAAAAAATTGAAGCAAATAATAAAAAAAGGGGGTTAATAAAAATGATTTTTTAAAAATTTTGGAGGGAATTTGATTAATATTTGTTTTCACATACTATAAAATTTTGAACTTTTTGAACGAATCCACCTTCGTAATCATCATCATTATCCATACTATTCATATATGCGCCATTTAAATTACTATTACTATTTGCTCCATTCTGTAGGTCTTGTAGGGGAATTTCTACATTTCCATTATATGGTCTAAAACTATTAGTGCTACTACTGTTCATCATATTTATACTTAAAAATGGTGAGCTTGACGTCGCCGATGAGAATGATTGATTCTTTTGTAATTGCCCTATAGAATCTTTTAACATTTTATTATAAAAATTTTAATATATATATATATGTTTGATAAAATAAATAAAAAAAAAAATATCCAAGAAAATAATAATATAAGAAAATATATTATTTGATACAAGTGAAGAGAGAGTGAGAGTGTATTATAAATAAACAAACAAAAAAAAAAAAAAATTAAAATAAAATTAAATGATTAAAAAATAATGTATTTACAAATAAAAATTAAAATTATGATTATATTATTATAATTATGAACAGGTTAAAACAAAAAAATTAAACAGGTTAAATAATAAAAAACAAAATCTAAATAAATACTTTTTTCTTTTCTTTTAAAAAAGGGGGTTTAATTGATGTTTATTATGTTGTTGTTGTTGTTGTTGTTGTTATTTTTGCAGTTGTTATTATTATTTATTATATAAACTATAAACTATATTAGTACTATATAGTTTAGTTATATTGTGTTATACTATATACTAATAATAATAATAATAATAATTAATGATGATGGAGTAATAATAATAATAGTTTTTTTTTTCTTTTTTTTTTTTTGTATTATATAATTCTACACAATTATTACTACTACTACTACTATTACTATTACTAGTGTCTTTAATTATTTTTGTAATAAAATTAAAATTACAAACTAGTTATTTTTATTATTACTGAATTATTTATTATTAAGTTATATATTTTTATTATTATTATTATTATTATTATTATTATTACTGAATATATTATTAAAATTTATATATATTATTAAAATTTATATATAAATTTTAAACACAATTATAATTTTCTTTTTTTTTTTTTTTTTTTTTTATATTATAATTTAAAATTAAAATAAAAATAAAAAAATTAAAAATAAATAATATCAACACAAATTTAACCCCACCTCCAAAAGAATTATTAATTTAATCACACACAACCACACATTAACACACACAGCTTATATAACACAGACACACACTTGACAAGCAAACAAACAAAAAAAAAAAATGATACACCTGATTATTTATAGAAACACTCTCAATAAACACACTCTCCAAAAAAAAAAATTTAAAATTATAACAGAATAAAAAAAAAAAATAAAAAATAAAAAAAAATTTAAAATTTTAAATTTTTTTTTTCTTTTTTTTTTTTTATTTTTTTTATTTTTATTTTTATTTTTTCATTCTAAAACCATGTCTAAAGTTTATATTGCTGTTATTATTATTTTTTATCATAATATTATTTTATTATGATCATCACTTTAATTAAAAGTGTTAATTTTTCTCTGTGTATTTTGATATATCATGGTTTTAGTGTAACCCAGTTTGATCATTGTCGGTTTGAGATTTAAATTATTAATTATTATTATTATCATATATATCATATAAATACATAAAATATATTTCTATTTTTTTTATAATAAATTTATTTTATTATTATAATTTTATACAGTTGTTACTATTTTTAAAAAAGATACCTTGAATGGAAATTCATGTGATAGTCTTTATATTACTGTTATTTTAAAAATAGAGTGGGGTGATGGTGTGGTATAAAAAAAAAAAAATACCCCTCAAAATGTACACATTATTGTGTAAATGTATATTTCAAAATTTTTTAAAAAAAAAAAAAGATCTAATCTTAGGTTTCTTTTCTTTAAAATTAAAAAAAAAAAAGATAAACCTTAAAAACATTTGTATTTTTTTTATTTTTTACAATTTTTTAAAAATTCATTCAATTTTTGTTTTTTTTTGTTTTTGTAATATGAATAGCCGTACAGTAAAATTAAATGAATTTATATTTACAGATATAATTTTTTATTTAACATATAGGGCTTATGAAGAATCATTTAAAAGAATATTAGAAATCAGTTTAATTTCAAAAAACACATTTAAAATTATACAACAAATAATAGTAAATCAAAGAGATAATTTAAAAAGACCAATATGTTTTAATTATAAAATATTATCAAAGCTTATTTTAGATCAAGGTGATAGCAAGTTTAAATTACTTCAAATTCAAAAGATTAGGGTGTTATATTTAATAGATTTGGTTTATAATAGATTAGAACGTCTACCACTATCTTTAGATAAATATTGTGCATCTTTGGAAAAGGTAGTTATATTAAATGCAACCTATACATACAGACAACCTCTGCCAATAAATAAATCACTGTTCAAATACAATAGTATATCAATATTTCTAAACAATAGCGACACACCCAGTTCAGATCAAGAAGAAAATGAAAATTATACAAATTATAACCAAGATACCTTTTCATACAGTTTTTTAAAGTGGTACGACCCTAAAAAAATAAAAATTAAAAAAGAGGAGGGGTTTGGTAAAAATTTGGAAAAGTTTCAAAATCTGTTTAATTACGGAAATGAATCGTTAAAAGAAATCGAGTTTGAAAGGTATCATTCAACACCGTACAATTTTATCAAAATGGCATTAAATAGTTCAACTATTCATTCATTAGAATCGTTAACAGTTAGGTTTGGTTATGATTCATTTCGTGTATATTTTAATGATGACTCAAATCGTAATGACAATGAAGACCACCAATTAAATCAATTAAAACCATCAAAATATTGTGAGTATGATTTTTCAAAACTAGTAGAGTTTTCAATTAAAATCTCAAGTTTATCAACTATAAATAAATCATTAAAAAGATTAGTAATCAGAAAGTGTTTAGATGACCATATAGGAGAATCACCCTCTAACGATAGACCAGGTTTATTAATTAATCAGCTAATTCATAATTCAACATTAAAAACACTGGGTCTAGAATTTTATGATATTCGTAACTGTTCAGAATTATCACAATTAACTCAAATACCGAATATTACAACACTTTATTGTAGCCCCAAATCAATTAAATATTTTCTTCAGCACTGCATCAATAACCCACACATAAAGAAACTGGTAGTTGGTAACGAACAGGAGTACAATGTTGATACCGAGCTTTATGAAACATTTTCAAATTTCTTTTTGAACAATCATTCATTAAAAACATTGGTATTATTAGAATACAGTAATTATAAAAGCAACAATAATATCATAATTCACAATTGTTTGAATCAATCAAAAAATAGAAATATTAATATAAAAATAAAATTAAAATAACAATTTTTTTTTTTTTTTTTTTCAAAATTAAGTTCATTATTTTTTCACAAAAACTTTTTAAAATTTTTTTTATAAAATCTTTTAAAATTTTTTTTTTTTCCCATCCCTTTTTTTATATAATAATAAAATGGATAATAATAATAATAATATTGATAGTAACACTGACAATATTGACAATAATATCACCTATAATAATAATAGTAATAATAGTAATAATAATGATAATAGTACAAATACTGATATCAATATCAGTAACACTAATAGTAGACCAAGGCAAAAAAGAGAAAAAAAACTAAAAAAATTGACTGTTGATGAAGATAATATTATTGTTATCGAGTCAATAAGGAATAATATCGATACAAGATCCTCGTTAATGATTAGAAATATTCCAAATAGACTACGTCATGAATTTTTAGTGGAGATTTTTAATGAACAATTCCCAGATTCATTCGATTTCTTTTTTTTACCAATTGATAAACTTGTATGTAATTAATAACAACATTTATAAAATTAATATTAATATTTTTTTTTTTGTTTTCTATCAAACAGACAAAAGTAAATTTGGGTTATGCTTTTATTAATTTCAAAAACTATAAAACCATTATTAGCTTCTATGAATATTTTCATCAAAGAAAATGGTCCAATTATAATGAACAAAAAGTTTGCCAATTGGCATATGCAACGTGCCAAGGTAGGGAAAATTTAATTGATCAACACAAAATTAAATATAAAATACCAACAGCATTTTATATTGAGGGTTAGTTTAAATAAATTGGTTTTTTCAGTGTATAGATTTATATACTTTTACTCAAATAAATAAAAATTTTACATCTTTAACTATCTTTTTAAAAAAGAAATGTTTTTCAATAAAATTCTAAATTATTTAGATTAACAATATTATTATAATAACCTTTGAAATAAAAAACTTAAACCAATGGATATTTATTTTAAAAAACTTGAAAAAAAACAAAAAAAAAAAAAAAAAATTATTTTTTATAAAAATATAAATTTAAAATTTTTTTTCTTTTTTCTAAAAATCATAATATAATTAAAAAGAATGGGTAATAATAAACTAAGTCAAATTATTTTTAAAGATGTTGTTTATTATTTGATTAATAATGAATCATCATTCTCAAATATATTAAATATTGCATTGATTTCCAAATCAACTTTTAAAAATGTTCAAAATATAATAGTAAATCAAAAAATAGATAATAAAGATCCCATTTATTTTAATTTATCGGAATTTCTTTTATATTTAATCAATTCAATGACAAATTCAAATGAATATGACAAAGTTTTAATTCAATATAAAAGTATTAAAGTGTTATATACAAAGATAAAATATTTTCCAATGGATGGCGAGTATTTGGATATTAAAGGTCCACTTTGCGAGTTTTGTCCAAAATTGCAATCTGTAGTATTTTTAAGAGCTTTTTATAGCTATGAAAATCCCTTACCCCTCGATGGTCCATACTTCAATGAGGAGGAGCAACCAGAAGATAATAAATTGTTTAAATATAAAAAAATTTCAATTTTATATGATGAGGAAACCGGTTTACCATGCTCTAGCGAACAGGAAAATAACTACTCAATTGGATATTCATTTTCATTCCTATCATGTTATGACCCTCTAAAATTATCAATTTCATTAACCCCAAATAAAAAAAATAAAATAATTAATAATTTTAGCGGGATTTTTAAAAATGGTGGAAAATCTTTAGGATCAATAGAATTTAAAAAAAATCACCCAACACCTTATAAATTTTTAGAGCAATCATTAAAAACAAATAAACAAAACATCAAGTCATTAAAACTTAGATATAATAATATATCATTTATAAATATTAAAGATGAAGATAACAGCGATGATGAAGATGAAGATGAGGATGAAGAAGATGAGGATGAAAATGAACATGAAGACGAAATAGAAAAAGAAATTGTAAATAGTAACGATCAATATTTAAAAGAATTAGCATCAGTATATGACTATAATAAACTTATAGAGTTTTCAGTTAAAATTTCAAATTTACCCCAATCAAATAAAACATTAGAAAAATTATTATTTAGAAAGTGTTTGGATGACGATGACAGCAACGATGGTGATAATATTAAAATAAATAACAACAATGATAAACCCAGCTTATTAATTAATCAATTAGTTTGCAACTCAACTTTAAAAACACTAGGTTTAGAATTCTATGACATTACCACAAGTTTAGAACTATCACAACTATCTCAAATACCAAATATTACAACACTTTATTGCAATATTAATTCAGTTAAATACTTTTTCCAACATTGCTTTGATAATCCTAATATAAAGAAATTAATAGTCACTAATGAGGAAATAATCAATGAAGTTGATCCTGATGTATATAAATCTTTTTCAGATTTCTTCAAATCAAATACAACTCTTTATACAATCATTATAAAATTAAATAATAATGAAATTTCAAATAATATTAAAAAATTATTTTTTGAATCAAATAATCAATCACATTTAAACTTTTTAAATAAATAAATTTATTATATCCACTCTTTTCAATTTTTTTTTTATTTTTTATTTTTATTAGTTTTTATTGCATAATTTCACACTTTTTTTAAAAGTGATGTTCTAAAAAATAATTTGGGTTTTAATCTATTTTATTATTATTATTTTTTTTAAGCAAAAAAAAGGTGGTGCTTTTTTTAGAATTTTACTTTATTTATATATAAAAAAAAAGTATAATTTTCAAAATGAATTGTTTTTTATAGCATTTTGGATGATGTTTGAGGGTATGCATTTTTATATCTCACCCACACAAAATAATAACACACATATTTAAAATGGTTATAAAAAAAATTATAAAAAATAAAAAAAATTAATAAAAAAACAATTATTATAATTATTTAAAAAAAAAAAGGGTTTAAACAGTGCATGTTGGAGAATTAAAAAAAAAAACAACAAACAATTATGGAAATCAGTTATGTATAATAATAAAATTTTAAATGAAAAATAAAAAATAAAAAAAAAATAAAAATAAAAAAAATAATAAAAAAAATAAAAAAAATTAAAAATTAAAAAATTTAATTTTATTTAATTTTTTATATTATTTTTTTTTTAAAATAAAAAAAATTATTATTTTTTAATATATTTATAACAATAGTAATAATTATAACAATAAGATAGAATAATTAAATAATTAAATAATTTAATAAATAATTTAATAATTCATTACATTAATTTTTTTTATTTTTCTCAATTTAAAAAAACCCTTTTTCATTCCATATTAAATAAATAAACTATAATTTAGATAGACAATATATAAACTATTCTTTTTTTTATATAACTATTTCTTTATTTTTTAAAAAACTTTTTTAATAATATTTTTTTTCAAATAATTTTTTTAATTCATAAAAAAAAAAAAAAAAAAAAATCAATTTAAAAACCAAAAATGTCAACATTAACATCATCATATAATAGTAATAATATTCAGGATGATAAAATGTCCAACAATCCAATTATCACTACTACAACTACAACAACCACAACCTCTCCATCTTCCTCCTCAGGAGTTGCTAGTGGAAGTGGCAGTATTATGAATTCACCATACATTAATAATAACAATAATAATAATAATAATAATAATTCAAACACTGATATTAACAAAAGTATAAATAATAGTAACAATAATAACAATAATAAAGATAGTAATGCTTTTACAGTAAAATCAATAATGTACAATGATAAAAAGAAAAATATATTGACACAAAAAGAAAATGGACCATGCCCACTCATTGCAATAATAAATGTATTATCACTTCGAGGCGAAATTGAAATCAACGACACTCCAATGTCATATGACGGACTTGTAGAAAGAATTGGTTCACATTTGTTTGAATCAATGAAAAATGTAAATATTAAATTATTAATTAAAAAAAAAAAAAAAAAAAACTAATCCCAAAAATATCTTTTTTTTATAATTTTTTTATTAGTATGAAAATACAGAGGAACAGTTCGATTATGAAATTAAAATTAATGATTCAATTAATGCATTACCAACCATGATTAGCGGGTTAAATCTTGATATTAAATTTACAGGGTAAATATTTTATAATAATAATAATTAATTATAATATACAAATTATTAATAAATTTTTTTTAGTATTAGAGATTTTGACTCATCATGTGATATGAGTATTTTTAAAGTTTTAAGTATAGATTTGGTACATGGATGGTTAGTGGACCCTCAAGATATAGAATTGGTATCAATTATTGGTGATTTAACATATAACAAATTAACAGAAAAAATTTGTAATTCAAAGTTAGAAGAGGATTTCTTAAATGATACCGAAATATTAAATAATTTTAAAATCAGTGACGAAAAGAGTAGTATTCCAAGCGGTCTTAGTAAAAAAGAGAGTATTGCATTCACCAACAATCGTATTAGAAATATAATGACAGATAGCGTAAAGTATAAGAACAGTCCAATCAAATCAAGTGGTGAGGATTTATTCTCTCAATTTAAAATTAAACAATTCCTTGCCGATACATCATCACAGCTATCATATCACGGTCTATATGAATTACACTCCAAATTGAATGAAGGAGAATTGGTAATTTTCTTTAGAAACAATCATTTCAACACAATGCTTAAAAGAAATTCCGAACTTTATTTATTGGTAACTGATGAAGGTTATATTAACGAACCTATAGTATGGGAAAGACTCTCTCAAATTGATGGTGACACCGAATATGTTTTACATGACTTTAAAAACTTTAAAAAAGAAGATCTTTATTCAAGCTTTGACAATCAAAATAATGGCCCAAACAATGTAGTTGTTAATACTGATGCTATGACCGATGAAGAGTTGGCTCATTACATTAATAATCAAGAAAATCAACCCTCTATAGACCAAGATTTCGCAGTTGCTTTACAACTCCAAAATCAAGAAAATGCTAAAGCTGGTTACAGAAAACCAAAAGAAAAAAAAGAGAAAAAACAAAAAGAGCAAAATAATAATAACAACAAAGAAAGTAAATTTTGTAAAACCCAATAATTATTATTTAAAATAAAAAAAAAAATAAAAAAAATAGAAAAATATATTTATTTGTAAATAAAAAAAAAAATAAAAAATTTTAAAAGTAAAACATACACAACATCAATAGATTATTTAATATTATTATAACTTTTTTTTTTTTTTTTTTTTTTTTAATAAAAAAATAGTTATTTGAAACCTTTTATTTTAAACCTTATATTAAGAATTTAATCTAATACAATCGAATGAGATGAAAAATATATTTGGATTTGTTGGGTCTTTAGCCAAGTAAAATGTTTGATGAAATTCGTGAGTTGAGCTTTCTCCGTAGGTTACTTTTCCACTTGCATTAATTAATAGATTTGGGTTTTCTTTATCTTCTCCTGGCATAGGTTGACAATCAAATGTTTCTACTATGTGTTTTGATTTTGGAATTTCTGCTAATAGTTTACCAATGTGCTCTTTTCCTTTACACTCTGTACCATTCCATATCGATACACTATCGTCTTTATAAAGCTGGACAAGTTCTCCTCTATTATTATCAAACATATTATAAAAATATTCCTATTGTATTTATAATTATTTTGTTTTATTTTATTATATAAATTGATACTATTAGATATTTGCTAATACTACTATATGTATATTAATTAAGTTTTGATGTTATTATTTAAATGATTATACTTTAACGAATGCTTCCGCTCTAGGAGATATTGTCTCTACTATTTTCTTTAAATTTTCGTCTACATTTCCATAACTGGAAATATCATTATTACTTGGGTTATTATTAAATTTTTTAAATGACATTGTGAATATAAAATAATTATTATTAAAATTACAGAATCAATATGAAAAAGAAATTATAAAAATAAAAATAATCGTAATTTAAAGAAAAAAAATAAATTTTAAATTTTAAAAAATTTTTAAAAAAAAAAAAATAAAAAAAAATAAATAGTTTTTTTTTAAATAATTTCTAAATAACAACTAAAGAATATTTTTCAATAAAAATAATAATAACTTTTATTTTTTGATATGATTTAAAAAAAAATAAAAAAATAATGTTTCAAAAAATAAAATTTAATTATGTGAATTCGAAATTAAAATAAATAAGAAAATAAAATAAATAAATAAATAAATAAATATTTATTTATACAACCAAAATTGATTTTTATACTTGACCTTTAGTTAATGAAGAATTATTTCTTTCTAAATTTATTCTTTTTTCTTTTTTTTTTTTATTATTTTTTTTTTTTATTTAAAACAATTTTTTTTATTGCGAGCACCAATATATAAAGGGCTTATTATATTTTTGTATTAAAAATTATAATTAAACTATAATGTTGTTTTGATAATTTTTAATTGATTGTTAAATTCCTTTTTTAAAAACATTAGATTTATAAAAAAATTCTAAAATTGGTAATAATAAAAAATTTTTATTTATTTTTTTTTATTTTTTTTTTTTATCAATTATATGGTTTTTTTTTTTTTTTTTTAATAAATTTTTATTGAACAATTTAAAAAAAAAAAAAGACCTTAAATAAACTTTTTTTAATATTGTTTTAATTTGTTAAAATATCATAGTTAAAAAATAAAGAATTATAATAGGATAATATATTGTATATTTAAAAACAATTTATAAAAAACAAGAAAAATTTAAGTAAATTTAGAATTACAATTATTTTTTTATAATAAAATTGTAATTGTTAATTAACAAATTTTTTTTTTTTTTTTTTTAATATATATTTAATAAAAGAAGGAAATAATTATAAATTGCAGTTTATTTTTTTATAATTAAAAAAAAAAAAAAAAAAAAAAAATTCAAATGTATAGTTTTAATACTACTCAAAAGGTATTAAAAAATTTTGGGAGAATCAAAGGTCATCAATCAAAAGGTGTGGTTATATCACCTTATTGCGAAGGTGCATGTTGTCAAATGATTAGTTCCTCTTCATCTATTCCTATGACAATCAATAATAAATTTGGTATAAGTGGGAATACTTTACCATTTTTAAAAGAAGAGTGCTCTCATTTCGAAACCAATTCAAATAATGGAGCAATAAATGGAATAAGCAGTTTTTTATTTCGAAACAAAAACAGTTTTTTTACACCCTGCAATAGATTATATGGAACTTTATCTCACAGTAATGGCAATAATAACCAAAATACTTTTCTTTATAAAGCAGCTCCAAGTACATCCATTCTAGACTCTTATTATTCGAGCAATCAAAATTTTAAATCACCCTTTAAAAATAATTATAATAATTTGGATTTTAATAGTAACTATACAACCTCATTTAATAATAACAACAATAATATTATTAATTTAAATAGCAATAATAAAAATCATAATAAAATTAATAATCATAATCATAACCATACCCATAACATTAATAATTATTTCGGTACCCTAAATGAACCATATCAAAACTGTGTTAAATTCGAATCAAATAAATCAAACTATGTACTAGAAATTATTGAAGGTATTTTGCCAAAAGACTTAGTTTCTGGTTCTAAAATGCTAACTCCAAATGAACCCCATAGTATTTTTGTAAATTTTTCATCAGCAGTTAAGGCATATCAAGCACATCAATATATCACCGAGTGGAGCGAAAAGAACTCAACAAATCTAAAGTCTAATTTAATTAGAACATCTTTGGATCCTCTACATTCAATTGAAAAAACAAATATTGAAAAGGTATTTACAAAATCAACTAAAATTAATTATAATTTAAAAAACAAAAATTATAATATATCACTTTTTGATAATTTAATTATAATTTTAAAAATGATACATAATATTAAAATTAAATATATTTATCATTTTTTTTTAAAATTTTATAGTTACCAGAATACCCAGTCCCAAATTATCAACTATTTAAATCAGAGCCATCAATAGATATAATTCAAAATAAATTATTGGGAGGTGTACCCATTTCAAATTTTAACGAAAAGAACCAAATAACATTAAGTTTTTTTTTCGAATATATTCATAAAGATGACATTCCTGAAAACTATGACTACTATGTTATAACTTTATCAAATGGCGATAATACAATGGTTTTTGATATAAAATCAATTGGACATATACCAAAAGTATTAATTGAAGTTTTAAACTCACCTGTAAGTTTTTAAATTTTATAATTTTATTTATATTATTTTAGCTAAAATATTTTTTATTAATTTCTATTTTTAGAATATAGCAAAAGTTGGTTTTAATAACCATAGACAACACATTCATTTGTTTGAAAATCAATACAACCTAAAAATAAACAACTTTGAAGACTTATCAAAGCATCCAATTATTTTAAGATCAAAGCCAAGAAATTTAACCTCTGTTGTGGGTATTTTTTTAAAATATAAATTACCAAGATTGGAAATTAATAGATTTTCGCATGGCCAGTTGATTTCACATTTGTTTTCTGAAAAGAAGATTGAACATTATGCTCAAATTACGGATAGTGTTCATTCTCTTGCTAATATTTTAAAATCTCAACAACCAGATTTCTTTTTAAGGTAAATAATAAACATTATATAAAATAAAAGTTTCTCATATATTAATTTTTTTTCAATTGAAAATACTTCTAGTGTAATGGATGAAGATTTAAGTGAAGGATCAACAACTTCATAAGCGGTCATGTTTTATAATATTGATAGTATAAAATAAATTTGTAAATAAACACTTTTTTAAAAAATTTAATATGATGTTAACACTTTGTAATGTAAATGAACTTTTAAAGTATAAATAAATAATTAATAAACAATAAAAATAAAGATAATTGTTGATTATTAATTAATTTTGATTATTATTGAGTAATGGTCCTTATTCATTACACCAGGAGCGGATATATTTCAAGAATTTGATTGTATTTTATTTAAAAATTATATGATATTTAAGTATCCTAATACTGAAAATATTTTCTATTGGTCTGATGGAGTTGAAAATTATTTCGTATACTATTTCTAATTAAATTATGACAGTAATAATCTGTGGAAATGGTAAACATCTGATGTTTACATGCCATGTTAATTGATCATGGTTGTATGAGAGTTTTAATTTACTAGATTTTGCTTTCATCTAATATTATTCGATATTCTATCATATTTACTTGGCCAGAGAAAATGTGATAATTTTAATCAAATATTTCTAATTAGAGTTGACTAGAGATAAATTCATTTTAAGTTGGTTTAAATAAAGCTCTATCCTTTTTACTATTATTATTAATTATATTTTTTTTTTTTTTTTTTTTTGTTTTTTATTTTTTTTTTTTTTTTTTATAAAACCATATTTATTGACTAACTAAAAGTTTTTTTTCTTGCTTCAGGGTTGATGCTGATGCTGATGATAATGGGGGCAAATAATGATGATGGTGATGATGATGACGATGATGATGGTGATGAGGGGCAAACAATGATGTTGATGCTGATGCAAACAATGATGATGAGGTAAATGATGATGATGATGAGGGCAAACAATGATGCTGATGATGATAATGAGGAGCATTGCCAGTAGTGGTGATTGATGGTGTGATGAGGCCCAAATACTATTGTTTTGATGTTTTGATGTTTTTAGTGTTGTTTTTGAGCAAAGTAAGGTGTTCTATAATAGCTTTGACAATAGGTGGTAGAGTAGAACTAATAGATGAAATAAGATGCACCTGGAGTGTAAGTGGAGGATGACAAATCTCTATCTTTCATAAATTGAATGCACCATTGGAAAACTTTCAATTTTTAATACATTCTTTGAACTATTTTTGTAATGGCCGATGGTTGTGATTGGTTCGGATTTGGTTTTCTCTTAAATAAAGTTTCATCTCGAAAATCTTTGAAAATATTGGAGTTGTTACTGGGAAAGTTATTTCATCTTCAATCTCTTCATGAATAAAGGTTTGGATCCCAAAAAAAAAAAAAAAAAAAGTGAAAATAATAGTAATCGCTATTATTTTCACTTTTTTTTTTTTTTTTTTTGGGATCCAAACCTTTATTTATTAATGCATGAAAATCTTATAAGCGCATTCAAGTGAACAAAAAAAGTGTTTCTTGATTCTAGATTAGGTGCTCTAAGACTACGAATTTTAATTGTACCAACGGTTAAAACAGGGCAACCTCAACACTTTACTTGTATTGGACCAAATTGTGGAGATCTCCAATATCAAATACTTAGTTTTCATTTGAAATATACGCGTTATTTCTTCAAGACTATTAACCAAGGCAAAATTTTGTCTAAAGATGCTATTGGAGAAAGATCAATTTTAGATCTTTTAATTTTAATTTGACAACATTGATCATCTTGCTTTAAATTAATCAGTAAAATATTATTTAATGTTTTTTTATAAAGTTTTTAAAAAAAAATATTCTAAACTATTGATATTTGATAATGATTTGATGCTGATGAAGTATGCTCTTGCTATTCTTCTTTTGAATTTTCTATATTCTTCATTGATGTTGCTAATTGTTTGTGGTTGTTTAGCGTGTCTTTCCTGTTTTTTAAACCTTGGACAAATCAGGCTGATATCACGACTTAATTTTTGATTATTTGATTTAATTTTTTTAATTAATTTTTGTTATTTAATTTTTATTTGTAATTCATCGATAAAGTTTTGTATCTTTTCAGTTTTATCTTATTATCACTTAAAAAATGGCAAAGTGAACCTTATTTTTTATTACAATATCTAAAGCAAGGGTAGGAAAGCCTGGTTAAATCCGTGTGACTTAAGATCTCATCCTGTCGGTTCGCGAGTTCGAATCTCGCCTCTTGCAATAACTTTTTTAAAAAAAGTAACTCATCTTCCGAGTGATCAACAAATGGCTTTGTTGGTTTATTAGTCTTTTGTCTCAGTAGATTCTATCTAGTCGCTTATCACCTGAACTATTTCTGTGTGAAAAGTGTTTCTGGTTATTTTACTGATGTCTTTCCTTGATGTTTTTTAAACCTTGGACAAATAAGGCTTTAACAAAGGGAAATAAAATATTTTTTTAATATTTTATAGTTTGGGTAAAGAGCCTGGTAAAATCACTTTAAAATCACTATTGAATGTGAGTGTTGTGAGACTATCTGGTAATGAACCTTTTTGAACTATTAGGTTAAATCTAATACCAAGTGTGGGTGAGGTAATTCTATCGGGTATTGAGCCGTTTTGAATTTCTTGGTTATAATAATAATTGAGTTTGAGGGTTGTGAGACTATTTGGTAATGAATAATTGAGTGTGAGGGTTGAAAGACTATTTGGTAATGAGTTGGGTGGGAATACTTGGTCAAAATTGATACCGAATGTGAGTGTAGTAATTATATTAGGAAAAATAATTAGTAATATTTGTCATATTGGGATTGTTTGTCAAAGTTTGGAAATCATTAGTTACAAGAAGAAAAATTCATGACCATATTTTATTTTTTATTTCACATAGTATCTAAACTATATAAAATAATCTATAAAAAATTGTTAAAAATTATGCTTTTAATCTTTTAATGTTTGAGAATGGAATAATTTGAAAAACATTAAGGATTATGGCAAATCTTAAACTTTGAAATGTTTGAGTTCAATAATTAAAATATAAAAAAAAATTATAAAATCAAAATAATCCTTTTTGGTAAATCTAACCATATGTTTTAATAGTTTATTAGCCACCTGTCAGAATTTTGCACTATTTATTTTATGTTAATATTTGATTTAGAAAAATATTTAAAATAATTTTTAAAAAATGAAAAGATATAAAAAAAGTAAAAATGGATTGAACCTATTGTTGAATCTAAACGACTAAAATGAGGATTTTGGACACTAGATTTGATTATTGTTTCGTAGTTTACCCATTCGAGGCTTTGTGTCGATTGTTTGTTGGTTCTTGAATTTGCAAATAATTGAGGAAGATCTGGGTCGTAATTGATTTGAGAACAATATACTACATAGCTTTTAAGAGGGTCAATAATTTTAACTGAATCTCTAGATTCAAATAATCGACGGAATTGTTGAATTTGATTATGAAAAACAAATGCTGTTTTTTTATTAAACTCTACAGTGACTGTATCTATTGATTTTTCATCTGATTTTCTTTTTCCCATTAAAAACGATGCCAACAACTGTTCTTCCTTTGGATTGCCATTACTTGTATACTTTTCATTACCTAATAAAAATCTTAATTTTGAATCTTCATATGAAAATAAAATAACACCAGCTCCTAAATATTTATTTTCTAAATGATTTGGGATAAAAGTCATTAAATTGCTTTTGTTAGTTGATGGTCCTTTAGATTGGAATTTATTGTTTGCATTATTATTAATAGATTTTCTTGAAGATGACGATGAATCTTTTCTATAACTTTCCCTAATAATTAAAATAATAAAATTAATAACATTTAAAATTAAAAAAATAAAAAATCTTTATAAAAAGGTATTTACCTTTGGTTTCCTTTTTTAAAATCGACCAAAAGTGGAGCTCCAAATTTCAAAGAACCATTTAATTTTAATTTTGCATTAATTGCATCTTTTACATCTAAAAATTTAATAAATGCATAATTACTATCATTTACCATATGTAAATAATCGACTTTCCCAAATTTAATAAATAATTGATATAATTTTTCATAATTTATATTTGACCCAATTCTTCCAATCCATAAAATTTCTGATGGGGCTAAACTATTGGATATTTCCTTTACTTGATTATTTACCTGCTTTTGATTTTGAAAATTAGGCTGGGGGATTTCTTTTGTTAAATTTGGACTTTTAATATCACCTTTCATTTTCATTATCTGATTTGGTTCTGAGGTTTTTGATTCTAACTGTAGAGGCTCTTTATTTTGAAGAGGAACGATAGATGAAACTGAAGATGTTGAATTTATACTATTTTTACCCTTCTCACTATATGAAGAAATAATAGGTGGGGAACGAATAATATCATCAGGTAAAGAGGGATTTGAATTATCTTCAATTTTTTTTGAAACCTCTTTACTCTTATATAACTCTGGGGATATATTTAGACAAGAATCATTAAACTTTAAAAAAAAATTTTAAATTAGAACTTTTTTTTTAAACAAGATATCTTATTAATTAATTTACCTACTGTTAAAAACTCTAATGATAAATTACTTTCTCTTATTGAAAGGATGTGTGGATAGTATATAGCGGCAATTGAACAGTTTTGATGATAAAACTCTATTATTGCACCATGATTTCTAATATCTAACTCTACTCTTTTTAAAATACCGAATCTAATAAATAAAGATTGAATCTCGTTTACAGTGCAATCTTTTGGTAAATTACTAACAAAAATACTATTTGAAACATTTTGTGGATCGTTTATTTTTGTTACATGTTGAGGTGAAAAAGATTTTTCAAGTTTATCTCTTAATGCTATTTGTGTTAGAATATTATTTATAAAATCTATAGATTGAGTTATTTGTTTTTGTTGTTGATCTAAACATGTAACTAATTGTTTTATTAAAACCAACACCTCTGTATTATTATTTTTTATTTCTTCTTTCATTTTAATAATATATAAAATATAAACTGAATAATTGTAAAAAAAAAAAAAATTTATAAAAAAAAAAAAATTATAATAAAATAAAATTTAAAATAAAAAAACAATTGTAAAATAATAATTATTTTGAATTGATCTATAGACATTAATATACTAAAAATGTATTTTTATATTATTAATGTTTAATCTATTTTTTTAAAAAAAAAAAACAATTTGTAACCTTTAAAAAAAAAAAAAAAAAAAAAGGGATTAATAAAAAAAAATTAATTATTTTATTATTTGTTTTATTATATTTTTTTATTTATATATGTTTTATACAAATGAATTAATTTGTAACTTCGGAAGATAAATCAAAATTTGATTTGGTTTTTTTGGTTTTTTTTGATGAAGTTGATGAAATTGTTGAACGTTTAGTTGAAGATGAGGAATCTGATTCTAAAGAGTCATCATTGGTACCAACAGAAACATTATCTGGAACATCAACTAAATCGCTTGCTGAAGCAATATCCTCTGTTGAATTATCTCTTAAAGTTTTTTCTTTACCATCTTTCTTTTTTATTTTTAATTTCTTTAATAACATTTTAAATGGTGTTGGTGAAGTATTTGGATTATCTTTGCTACTATTATCTTTGCCTTTTGTTGGTGATTCAGTAATAGTAATATCTTCATTATTTAATGATGATGATGATTGGGTATTTTGTAACTCTCTTTGTTGTGATGATGATAAAGAAGATGTTGAATCTTTTCTATCTTTTTCTTTTTCCTTTTCTTTATTATTGGATGGTTGTGAGGTTAAAATTGGTGATGATTCACTACTATGTGAAGTTAAATTAACATTTGTTGATGCATTAGTTGATGATGATAACGAGGCAGTTGAGGTTTTATTTACATTGTCGATTGGTTGCGATTGTTGAGTTGGTGATGGTGGTTGATGTGATTCCCTATTGTTTATGACATTAATTTCAGCCTCTTCACTTTCACTTTCACTATCTTCACTATCACTTTCCTTTTTACCCCATTTATTTTTCATCATTCTTAAAGTGTTTCTACCTTTACCCAATATAGATGGTCTTCTTTTAGATGATTTTGGTCTACTTGCTTTATAATCTTTTGAATCTAAATTTTTATCGACCTTGTGCTTTTTATCTGATTTTTCTGTAGTTGTTACACTTGATATATCATTAAATGATTCACCTGCAACCGATGAATTTGTGTTGGTATCACTAACAGCAACACTCTCCAAATTATTTGATGAATTTTGGTTTGATGATATACCACTATTCGAAAAATTACCAACTGAAGTATTATTACTGGTTGTATTATTTGATATTAAACTTGTAAAACTACTGCTGCTATTATTTGCTGAGCCGCTATGGTTTAAATTATTACTGCTACTATTTAATTGTTGTTGATGTTGTAAACTATTTGATGAATTGGTTGTTTGAATAGTTATTTGGGGGTTACTTTGTTGTTGTTGTTGTTGTTGATCTTGTTGTGGTTGACCATTACTCCCTTCAGTACCTGAAAAACTTGATCTTCCAACACTTTCACTTTCACTCCAACTTGTAATTTCGTGTTCATGCTCGGCTATATTATCCTCTTCTTCATCATCACTTAAAATTTCTTGGTGAATAGCTGGGAAATCTGTGCTGAGTGGAACAGTAGATTCGAATATTGGTATACAATTATTTTCGATGTTATCCATATTTAAACCAGTATCAATTTCTTCACCTCTAAGTATCTTTTCTGTTTCTTTTGAACGATTTAAAGTGGCTAAATCAACAGCAAGACGACTAAGGTGATCACGGCATTTGGTTCTAATTGAATCAGAGCCTCTCTTCATTAAAAGATTTGCACATCTTGGTCTATTGAAAAATGCAGCATAATGCATTGGAGTCCAGCCACGTGGATCGACAAGTGTAACATCTGCACCATTTTGAAGTAAAAGCTCTGGGATTAAAACATCGTCACTCTTTAAAATCGATTGATGTAATGGAGTTCTACCTTCTTCTGAGCTATAATTAATTTCTGCACCTTGAGCCAACAACTTGATATAAGTAAGAACATCTCTTTTATTCTCTTGAATATTCTTTTGCATAGTTTTACTAAGTTCTTCAGAAGAGAGAGTTGATTTTATGATATAATCTTTATTTTTATATTTCGAACGAATCCATTTCTCTTTGTCCATTCTATCAGATTGAGGTGTTGGTTTTGGAAATTCATCGGTCTTGTGGTGTTCAAATAATAAATTAAATCTTGTGTTACCAACCTCTTTCATAAAAAGAATATTTTCTGGTGACCATTTATCTAAAGTTAATGAACGTACTTTGGATATATGAGTACCGAGACTTCTATGGACACCGCTGCATACTTTACAAATAATAATTCCAAGATTAATAGATGCCCAATCTGGATCTGGTTGACCACAATCAGCACATAAATTATTACCACCAACCTTTTGAAGAATACGGAGTACCTGTTGATTAACTTCATCGGTTTGAATTGATTGACTAATAGCTTGAGAACTTTGATTCATACCAGATTTGGCTAATGAATTAAATGATGATGGGTTTTTTTCAACAGTTTGACAATTGAGTGAATTTGAAATTGCATCTTGGATAGCTTTAACCCAACGATCTCTTTCTTCTTCATTTTCGGCTTGTAATACAATTGGTTGTTTCTTTCTTGGATGTAAAATTTCAAATCTAAAATCTTGATTGCTATCTTTGCTATTGGATTGATCTTTAGTTGGTTGTTGTACAGTTTGTGGTGATGATACCAACAATGCCTGTGGTACCCTAACAGAACATAATAAAATATTTAAAGCATTTTCTGGATGGAATTCCTTTTAAAATAAATAAAAATATTAATACATTTAAATAAAGGGTATAAAACAACTAAAATTGATACTTACTTTTTTTCCTTTATAACAATATAACATGCCATCCTTTAAAACATACCAACATTTATTCCAACCACCCATAACTTGTTTAGACTTTTTCATTAAATGACCCTCTACTACTTTTGGTGGCTGAATTACTTCTAAATACTTTTCAATATCATCTAATCGTGGTTTAAGATTTGCAAATAACTTTGAAGCTCTATTATAGAAATGATATTGAGAGTTGATAAATAATATTAATGATTTTAAGTATTTAGTTTCATTCTTGTGAGCTAATTCTGAAAGTTTAATTTCTAAATCTTTATTGGCAGTTTCAAAAACCTCTTTTAATTTTTCTAACTCTTGTTCATAATGGAATAATCTAACCTCGTCGATACCTGCTTTCGATTTCTTTATTGATGATGAGATTTTGCCCAATGATGTGTCGTAATCCTCTTTAGCTTTGGTAACTCTTTTATTTGATTCTGTAACCTCAGCAAAATCATAATCTACAAAATTGTTTAATGGTGTACAAAATACATCCTGAACCTCATTGGACTATATTTTAAAAAAAAAAAAAAAAATTAAGGGTTAAAATTAATTTTTTTAAATAATGTATTATAATTAAAACTATTGTTATTTACCATTTGATCATGAACACTATTAACAGCTTTTAATGTATTACCAAAGGACAATAAAGCATTACTTAAATTTGAATCTTTTTTACTTGATGATAATTGTTCAGATTGCTTGATTAATTCATCAGAGAAGGAATATAAACTACTAAAATGGGTTTTACCTTGATCTTGCCAATGCTTGGAAGCTTTTAAAATCTTTTTTAATGTTTTTTTATTTTCCATGACCTTTTGATATTCCATTTGAGTGCTACCATTTGAAATAGTGCTGGTTGGTAATGGTGTTGATGTACCTAATTGTGGGAATGTTATAGATCCTGATAAAACTGATGTAGAAGTTGTACTATTATTACCTGGAGTCTGTGGTGAATTACTTGTATTGATTGTTAAATTTCTATTGATAGATGGTGATCCTGGATTATTACTATTTATATTTGTGCTATTATTTTGTGTTGTATTTGCTATATTTGATGTAGATATATTTATGGATGTAGATAATGGGGATGCTGATGATCCTGAAACTATATTATTATTATTATTATTATTATTATTATTATTATTATTATTATTATTATTATTATTACTAGTACTATTTTGTAACGGCAAAGTACTTGGTGCTATAACTTTACTACTGTTTGAAGTATTAATTGTATTTCCTGTAATTGTTGTAGTGGTAACTGTTAAATTTGCTGGAATTACAATTGTAGTTGTGGCTGACTCTATTGAAGATGATTGGTGTGATGGTTGTTGTGGTTCTTCATGTTGAACCCCACCTATATTCTCTTGACCGCCACTACTCATTTTATTATATTATATATTATTATATGTTATTTATTAAAATACAACGTTTTATTTATTATAAAAATTTTACTATTATTTTTGTTATTTATTATTATTAACTATTATCATATAAATTTTTTTTTTATCAACTGTATAGATTTTTTTTTAATGTTTATTTTTTAAAAAAAAAAATTTATTTTAAAAAAAAAAAAATAAAAAAAACTATTTATTTGAAAAATTAATGTAAATATAATTGATAAAAAGGTCTATTATTAAAATATTAAAAAAAAAATAAAAACAAATTTTATCTATTACTATTACTACTGCTATATAGTTATACACAATAACTTTTTACTATTATACAATTTTTTTTTAAGTGTTGTTTTTTTTTTTTTTTGTGTTTTAAAATTATTTTAATTATTTATTTATTAAAATAATTTTTTTTTTTTTCTTGTGCGTGGGGGAAATTTTATTATTTGATTGTTAACTAATTATTGAAAAAATAAAAAAAATAAAAAAAATTTCTCTATGGCAAAGGATAGTTTATTTTAAAATAATTTATGATACACACAGAAATTGAGAAATGAAACGTTAGTTTATTTTTGTGTGTGGTGAGTGAGTGTGTGAATGTGTGTTAGATTTGGTGTTGGTGGTTGTATTAAGGAGTAAGTAAGAAGTTAATTTTATTTACTCTTTAAAAAAAATTTTAATATTTATAAACAAAAAAAAAATGAGATTACTTTTTTTTTTTTTTTAAAATAATTTATTTTTTTTAATTAAAAAAAAAAAATTTATTTGTTTATAATTATTTATTATTAAACTATTGATTTACTATAGCTATTATATTTTATTAATTTATAAATAAGTTATTATAATTATAAATATGTAAAATAAAATATGTGGATGGTAAAGGTTGATTAATAGAAAAGAAAAAATAAAAAAAATAAAAATAAAAAAAAAATTAAAAAAAATAAAAAAAAAAAATAAAAAAATTTTTTTTGAATTTTTTTTTAAATTTTCTTTTTTTGATTTTTTTTTCACTGGACAATTGATTATTTTAATAAATGCAAATCATAATGCAAAAATAAATATGAATTTACAAATATGAAATTATTTATGAAAAAAAATAATTAAAAAATAAAGAAAAGAAAAAAAAGGAAATAAAAAAAATATTCAAATATTTACACACCTTTTTCTTTATAGAAATAAATAAATAAACTCATAATTTTTCTTTTTTTTTTTTTGATATTTTTATTAGAGTTTTGCCAAAACTTTTTTTTTTTTTAGAAATTTTTATTTGAAATTAATCACAACAAATTTATTATAACCACATTTTATTTTTATTTTAAAATGATTTGATAACCACCACATCCGATAATATTTTTAATTTAAGATAAACTAGGTGATTAATAAATAACCTAATGGCATAAAAGCCTTTGCATAAAAAAAATGAAAATAATAATAATAACAATAATAATAAACAATTCTATTAATTGTATATGAATAGAAAATAAAAAAAATAAAATAAAAATTTTAATTTTAAATTAAATTTCAACTATATTTTACATTCTTATAAAAATATAACAAAGAATTAATTACCACTTAAATGTTTAATTGCTTGTTAACTTAAATTTAAATGATTCTATTTATTTTTTATCCATAGAAATATGTGTGTTTGTGTTTGTGTGTTTTTGTGTGAGGTAATTTTTTGTAAAATAATTCATTAAAAACACACAGCAATAAAGATATCAGATTTTCATACTTTAACTGTTGATATATAAAAAAAAATATAATTAAAAAAAAAACAATATTTATTTTTTTTATTGTATTTTTTAATTTTATTAAATAGTTTTTATTATTATTTAAATTTATATTAAATTTTTTTTATTAAATTATTTATTAAATTATTTATTAAATTATTTATTTGTTACATTTATTTTTTTATTTATTTATTTATCTCCTTTTCTTTTTTCTTTTTTTAAATTTATCAAAAAAAGTATTACAAATATTAAAATGAATTATCCATACGGTGCATATCCAACAGGTGTTGTCACAACAACTCAAGTTTATCCAGGTGTGGTCGAGGAGGTTATTATTCAGCCAGGTATGGTCGCTCCGGGTATGGTTGCTCCAATACAACCAATGGGCATTGCCCCCGGTATGATGGCTCCAATGCAACCAATGGGCGTTGTACCAATGCAACAAGTCTATCCAACTTCTGTATATCCGGTTACTGGTTATCCCGCTACAAACACAATCATTTATGAACAAACCCATGGCCACCATCACCATCACCACCACCACCATGGTCATTTCTTTTAAATTAAAAAATTTTCGATTCCATCATTCAAAATATTAAATAAATTAAAAAATTGTGAAATATTATAACAACGTTGGGTTATTTTATTTTATTTTTTTTGTTATTTAAATACATTTATTTATTTTTTTTTATTTTTTTTTTTAAATTTGAGGTTTTGATAGAAAAACAATAACTCCAATAATTGATTGGTTTTTTTTTTTTTTTTTTTGTTTTTTTTTTTTTTTTTTAATGATAAATTTTTAAAAATATGATACCAATATAATTATAAAATTGAACATTTTGAGTTCTTTTTGCTTGTACCCTTATCTCTGTCTGGGAAAATGACAGCTTTAATTGCTTCATCGAAAACTTGTTTAAGGCCTTTTTGAGTAAGAGCAGAGCATTCCATATAACAGAAAGCTTTAATTTCTTTTGCCATTTGTTCACCTTGTTGGAAAGTAAGTGGTTGTTGATGTTTTTCTCTGAGTTTTTCTAAGCTTTCTTTATCTTCTCTAAGATCACATTTAGTGCCAACAAGTATAATTGTACAATTTGGGCAATGGTGAGTAACTTCTGGCCACCATTTAGATTTAACGTTTGTATATGAAGTTTGACTGATAATAGCAAAACAAATTAAGAAAACATCAGTTTGTGGGTATGATAATGGACGAAGTCTATCGTAATCTTCTTGACCAGCTATATAATAATAAAATAGATTTGGTGTTAATAAAGGTTTGGGTAATATTGAATGAAATAGAAAAATGAACATGATATATTTTTATAATGGTGTTTGTAGTTTCTTTTTTAAATTGTCAACAAAAGGAGATAGTGAATGTTTATATTCCTGTTATAATGATATATTTAACAAGCAAATTCCTTATTGTTGGTTAAACCTAAAAAAACTAAGATAACCTGCTCTATATCTGTTTTGCTTCTATATG